CAAACTTGGAGGCTGGGTTTGAACTCACTAAGCTACACGTGGAAGAGGGACAACCCCAGCTTTTTAACTTCTCTGTTTTTCGAGTTAGCAGCTTACCCGTCAAAAACTTTGGGTCTCGTATTCGCATGTAGATTAAGTTACCAAAGTTTCAGCCTTTTAGCTTTTGTAGGTCTCGGGATAAAAAATTGGTACAGAACACACAGAAACAAAAACACACAGACCACCCTCGACAATATGCGTTTTTGCGTTGTACAGATGCAAAAAACGCATAAAAATTGTAATACTACGTGAAGGGGGAAAAAATTTATCAACATCAAATGTGCAAGTTGCCTGCATTATTATGCATGAGAACACCCGTTCCAGAAACACTTTTTTTAAAGCACTGCGTGAACTGTTTTGCTGTTTAGTTTGTAAAAAGCAGACCCTTCCTTTCAACAGTTAATTCCTGCAGTTCTGAACAATGGCGCTCCAAAAAGAGTGAAAAGCAGTAAAAATATCACACCCTTTGTATAAGACATACCTGTTAGACGTAGATTTTGAAAATAACGTTCAATTGGGCCGACTGTTTCACCTGAATTGAAGAATTCTCCCATATCCCTAAAATTCTGCTATGTCTTTACCACGAAACGACTGCAGCTAGTTGGTACAGTGATAGCCACAACAGGGGAACTGTATTATGAACAAACTTGGATGTTCTTTTCGTTGATTCACTGTTACTGAGAGCGCCTGAAGGATTAGCGCACTGTGCTTGAGATGGCGAAAGTGTCGGGAATGGCGGAAGGCTGCTATCCAGCACATCGAGTGGACCTACTTCTGTAACCGAACTGTTCTGAATGCTCCGCTCCAACTCACCTGGCATCCTGGAAAAACATAAAAGTTACACAGCGCTTCATCAGACTTTATTTTTAATCTTCTGCTCAACATCGCCTTCAACATCATAACGTGCTTTCACGCCAGTAACGCAGCTCGCAAGTTTTTCACAGTTGCTGAGCTTGAAGCTACATCACCTTGCGCTTAGCTTGGTGGTAATTTTAATACG